TATATATATATCTCGAAAAAGAAAAGGAAAAAGCTGTGGCCCGACTGATTGCTCAGAGAATAAAGCCTTCAAGGCCCTCATGACTTGGTCCCAGCCTACCTCTCCTAAACAAAGAAACAAGTAAAATGTATATTATATCAGATGGTGATAAGTGCTATGGAGGAACAACAGAAAAAGTGGAGCAAGGGATGAGACAGTTCTGTTGGCAGAGGGTTTGTTATTTAAATAAAGTGGTCAGAAAAGGCCTCCTCCTTGATAAGGTGACAATAGTCTAAAGACTGAAGAAGGGAAGGAAGTCGAACTTTTCCCACTTTACTGCAGCCAAATTTGCCTTCTTTCTCTTTGAACCACGATGTTTTCTGTTCCCCCTATCTGAAATGCTCTCCGCCATCATTCTTCCATTCTTCTCCTCCTGGCCACAGTAGGAACACACACGGAAAGAAGGGGTTATCTGCTACCCTCAGGGCGCAGTTTAGGAGTCACTTCCTCAGGCAAGCACTCCCTTCACTCCTTTTCTTTTAAAGCTAGCTCCACGTACAGTACCTTCCAGTACTTGCTTCACCTGTAATGGTTCGGCTTATGGGTCATTTTAACCTTTGATCCCCTCCAGACAAGCTCTAGGAAGGCAGAGTCCCCACGTTATCTCCAGAGTCTAGCACTGCGCATGGCACATAATAGGGTGGGTGGGGTGGGAGTCCTGGATTCAAAGCCTGGCTTCAAGGTAACTGCACGGAAGAGGTTAGCCCTCTGTGATTTCTCTGGAACCCAGAAATTTCCCTGACTGACTGACCAACCAGCAGTAAGGTATGCACACTCTCGGAGCTGTCCCGGCGCGGAGTCCCCAGCCCCACACACTTAGGACCCCTTAGTGGGGATCAAAATCACTGAACCTAGGGCTCCTGTCTCCAGCGGCGCATTTCCAACCTCGAGGCCTGACCTGTAGGTTTCGGGTGATAAGGTGCAGCTTCTCTTCAGGGCTGGGAGTGTCCCCCATGGCTCTACTACGCCTGCTTCACACACTCAGCCCGGCACTCACGCCCCTTCCTCAGTCGCCGCCGCCGCCGCGTGCGGGGAACTGTCACGCGAGTCCAGCCAGGTTGCATCAGCTGAGCTCGTCGCTCGACTTGCTCGGCCTGGACTCCTCTCCACCCGGCCGTAGCCGGGAAAGAGTCAGGAGCAGCGGAGTGTCGAGCGGGTCGATGAGACAGGAAGGGGTGGAACCAATAGGGAGGGAGGGCGGTGCGGGGGGCGGGGTTGCGGCGCCTGCGGGGGGCGCAACCCACCTAGAGGCGGGGCGGTTTCCTGCCAATCACTGTTTGTTGCCCTCCCCCTGGTGTTGGCCTCGCTGACTCGGGCTGGGGGAGGTCGGGGAGGGGGCGATAAAATGGCGCAGGGGGCACAGTGAGGCGCAGTCGTTCGCCAGGCTTTGGCCCGACTTCCAGAGGTGAAGAGCGGGAGGGATGAGAGGGGGTCGGCGTTCCTCGGCCGGGAGGGGGATGGGGGCGCCTGTTGCTTCTTCCAGGGGGCCGCGCAAGCCGTCAGACCCGTTGAGGGGTTGGAGGCCCACACCCTGCTTGGGAGAAGGGTTTGTTCTCGCTCCTGAGGTGATGATGGGGGAATGTCCCTGCCCCCCACCTCCACGTCCGCGGGGTAGAGATGCCCCTCACGCTGCTGAGGAAGTGGGAAGCTGTCTGGTCATCTGAGAGGCGGGAGCTACGTCTGCCGTCCTTGCCCAGTGGGGGTGGGGGCCATGGATGTGTAGGGGGGGGAGGCCTCTGTCCCCAGCCGCCCGGCTGGAAGGTGTAGCAAGGGGGCTTTCCGCCGCCTCTTGCGGGTGGGGGAGGGAGAGGATGACCCATCCTCCGAGAAAACGGGGATAGTGTGGTCCAGCTGAGGTGTGGCTGTGGGCGGCCATCCTCAGGGAGAGGGATGTGCCGCCCGGGCCTGCTGAGGGGCCGATTTTGCCTCTACTGGGGGAGGGGTGGGGAAAAAAACCCGCGCTTCTCCCACTTTCCGCGGGGAGGCGGGAATTCACGATTTCCCTGCCGGAGGGAGGAGCTAGAAGGGAGGTGCAAAGGCCCTGCCTGGAGGGCTATGCCCCTGGTGGTTGCCTTTTTGAAGGAGGGGGGGGAGGGCAGGCCGTCTCCTTCGAAGGGTGGGCCTGGGCCACCCTTCCTCCTGCTCCTCCAGGGCTGGGGGCAGCGTCACTTGCCCACATCAGTTACTTCCTGGGCAAGAGAGAAGGCAGTGGGCTCTGCATGGTGGGCTCTGTAGAGGGCCTAAAAGTGATTGAACTGCTCACAGAATGCCCTAACCTGGATCTACAGTGTTTGTGGATCTATTAGGGGATTCAAGCTTTAGCAGACCCGTCTAAATTTTTAAAACACATTTTCTTTTTAAAAAGAAACCTGTTGCTGCAGCTTAGTAAATCTGTTCTCTGTGCCCATGTGGGAGGAGAGTCCTGGCACCCTGATCTAGTGAAATGTTACCCAAAGCAGAGATTTCCAGCCCTAGGTTGTTTTTCGATCGTACAGTGTTTCCAATTACCTCAAAACATGTTGCATATAATTTCAGTTTGATTTTTTTTTAATGTGCCCATTTTATGGAGTGGCAACAAAGCCTACTCTGTGCCTTTGGTGCTTTGCGCTTCACATGTATTGCATGTGAAGGTTGGAAATCAAAGGCCAATGGGAAGTCCTGTCCTTTGGAAATAATCTTTGCTCTTGGCTGTATCTGTCAGACCTTGCTTGGTAATGGTCTTGATTTTAGAGCCTTGAAAGAGGGTGTAGGGTTGTGCATGGTGTTGGAATTTTAGTGGCCTGAATAAAATAAGGCTTTATGCCCTAAGGCAGGTTTTCTGAGGTAAGATAAAAATAGAAGGGGAACCAGTTTCTGAGGTTGCAACTAGGAGGTTGGAGAACAGAGAGAGGGGGTGGTAAAGTGAAGTGTGAAGAAGGGGGTGGACAGGTGAGAGAGATGTGGAAGGACAGAATAGGGTCACAGAAAGGGTGGGGAGCAGAGAAATTAAGAGAGAATTGGGAGACGGGAAAAATATTCTTACCTTAAAAATAAAGGGGTCTCCACATTTTAAGTGGAGGTTACCAGGCAAGTGCCAAGAAAAGCAGGTAATGGTAGAATGGCAGAGAAGTAACTAAGACTGTCTTGTGGAACTTCACTTAAGAATTTCAGTTTTATCTGAGGATTTTCCCCCTTGCAAATTCATTAAATATCAACTTTCATTGGTATAGAGCTTTTAGGTCATGTACATTATCTCATTTGATCTTCATGATAATTTGCCTTTGAAGTTAACTGAATATTTATCCCCCTTTTTTCAGATGAGTGTTCTCATCTATATTGAGGTTCAGAGACTTCAAGTAAATTGCTGTGGTCCAGTGCCCTCTATACAAGATATTTCAGTGAGCATTATTTTGCAGAATTTGTCTGATTTGAATGTCCATCTAATCTGCTGTTTAATTTAGTGACAATATGATTGAATGTTGTTTGAAACTCGAAGAGAATAGAGCATACTGGATAATTCCAAGCAAGGTCTAGGGGAAGTTCCCTACCAGTTTAGCAATCTTTTCCCTACCATTCTTGTGCTTTTCTTAAGACTCTTTAAGAAAGAGTCAGGCCGGGCGCGGAGGCTCACACCT